AGGATCACGGGGCCGAACTCCTGGAAGTTCTGGCCGCCCTTCTCGTAGACGCAGCCCACGCAGGCGTTCTTGTCCGTCACGAGCTTGAAGACCTTGGCCTTCGTGATGATCCGCGCCAGGTCCGTCTTCTCAGCAACCTCCCCGAGCATCGGGCAAAAAAGGAAATCGAGTTGCAGAACTCCCAGTTTGACATCCATCCCGTCTACGTCCACGCAGAAGGCGGTAGTCTTTTGATGCTACGCGGGGCTTATTGGGAGACCTGCTGCTCATGCTGCGCTCAATCTGTTGTCAGACTGCACAGCAAAGCCTTCTCCAGCATCTGGATCAGGGCGTAAGTAATGGTCATGCCTTTGCTGATGTCTGCAGGCTACATGGCCCTCAGACGTATATGTTGAAGACAAGCTGGCAAGGTGTAGTATAGCACAGGCATGCATTCAGGTAGCGCAAGAACTGGTGAAGAGGTAGACAGAAAGCGATGGGTGCAATGACATATTGGGCTCAAGGCTAGCACCTAAAAAGGAGCAGAGCAAGTCCCGCAAATGCTCAGCGTGGCGACTCAATACCATCGTCATGATTGTTAAGCTTCCCTTTTGCACTGTGGCCGCTCGTAGTTCTGGGTATGGCCAATCTACAGGTACGACTACTGCTGCCACTGATACGCATCAGGCTACCCGGTGCATCTTCTGATGATGACGACTATGCCGACTATGGCAGTAAAGACGGTGGGGTAAGATGCTGCCGCTGCTGTCGATTGCAATGGTCGATGAAGGTGACGATGATGTTCTGGTTCTTGAAATGATCAGCTGCCGTTCTCATATATGTTACAGGTACACAGTCAAACATCTTTTTGGCGGATGCATGGAAGTGAAAAGCGGTCGCAACCACACTGAGGTGAGGCCTAGGGTGGGGAATCCGTACTATGCAAGCTCCGCACTGGGTTTTTTGCGCTTAAAACCTTCAGATTGACCGGAAATGAGAGTGCACCCAATGCCAAACAACTCTATAGTGCTGACCCATGATGACTGGCAAGGACAACCATTGTAAACAGTCGAACCCTGGCTGTGCGGTACCGCCATCATCTTCCGAGTTTGCACCCGGACTCCTTACTCACGAACCTTGAGCCTGCGCCCATGGCCCCGAACCCGCAATGAAAGCGCTAAAGTCCTTTTGCAACCTGCAAGCCTCCGGAAACATGCGAAAACTGCTAGCAGCAAACTTCTGAAGAGAATGCCTCAAGCTGCTGACGCCATAAGAAAGGTAACGTAACACACAACTACAGATACACATACTATGCGTACACATACATACATACATACATGCATGCATGCACATGTATGAATGCACGTGCACGTAGGTAGGTCATTAGGTATGTATGTATGTGTGTATACATCTCATCTTGGAGGGGGGGAAGCATATGCTTGCATAGTATTCTCTGAGGCCTATATGGACCCCCCAAAAGGGTCCCGAAGCAGAGAGCCGCCAGGGAGCCCGGGAAGCGCTCCTTCCCTCGGTGCGTGCGTGGCTGCGAATGGCCACCCAGGCGGGCGACCAGGGACCTTGGGCCCGTCTCGGATGGCGTGGGGTCGAGGGCTTGGAAATTTTGATGACGGTTTTTGGGTTTGGTGCCAGTCTTGGGCTGGCATGCTCGCCTCAGACGTAGCTGTCACTATCGCCGTTGCTTTGCCTCATGGTGTTTCCTGTAAACCTCCCAACACAAGCACCCCATATGTGACTGGGTTCTGGATCCACTTGATGTTGGCAGACATGAGATCTGAGCATGCCAACATTGCCACTCAAACTCTACATCAGGGCTCAGGGATAACTATGCCGGACTTGTTCTAACGCCCCCAAAAACGCGGAACCCTAACCATAGACTGCCCTAGGACCGCATGCAGTCTTCCCTAAACCCTGAACCTCTTCGAGTTGTAGCTTACCCTAGGCCCTTATCCTGAAGACATGAGGAGCTCCTAAATCTGCCTTTAGTGAGTGCACAGTTTTTCCCGAAGGTGGCAGCCACGTGCTTATGCAGGCACATGAGTGCATTAGTCAATTCACGGACAATCCGCCATTTCAGGCCCAAACCTCTCCAACCCGTAGACCTAAACCCCTGAACTCCAAAACCCGCAGGCCCTGAACACCTAAACCCAAAATTCCGCTCAGGCCCTGCACAGATCAAGGTTGAACTTGTCCACCAGCCAATCCTGAGCAGAAAGAGCAGAGGTGGAAGCTTGCAGTGGTACTGGGCGGTGAAGCTTTGGGGTCCAAGGATTACGGTGCAAGGGTTTGGATCACGTATGCTTGTTGCTTCTAGCTCTCACGTAATTCTGGTTCTTGTTCAAGTCACTGCCTGTTGCAGTGTCCTCCCCCGGCTGATGTGAGCTGCGAGTCATATGCCATGCGATTATCCCCAGCACCAGAGAAGGTGGTAGCAAAACCCCAGAGACAACCTAGAGCCAGAAGGGCTTCCTACATTCATATTATGTTAATTTTCATGTACCTGCACATGTACCATACAAATATGCATGTACGTATACATACACATGTGCATATACAGAAACATATACAGATTCAGAGGCAAAACATGTGCATGTACTCACATATACACACACACACATATATATATATATAGACATATACATATATATATATATATATGCATGTATTGAAGCCGCTACCACCTACCTCGCACAAGGAATCGAGTGGCCCAACGTCAAGGCCCGAGATTCCAGAAGGGTTTAGGAGTTTAGGACCAGTCTTCAGAAAAGCGGCCACGTCATCGGCGCTGTTGACGCACAGAAGCCTTGTTCGAAGGGAGTGACGGAACCAAGCAAGCTTTCCTCGAACAAGAGTCTAGGAGTCTAGGGTGTTCGACCTGCAGGATTTTGCTAGCTCGCCCTCCAGCCTCAATCCTACTCAACAGAGAACCGGCGCCAATCCTAAAGCCAACCCCCAATCCTACGATGACAACCTTGCATCTCCAACAAATTCGAGCGAGAACGCATGAAGTCAATGCATCCTGAAACCGTTCTCGAAGCTAAGACCCAAACAAACCGCAGATCAAGAAACCCTAGGCCCTGAAAAATACAGCACCAGCGGCTTTGCTAGCTCGGGCTTCTTGGCGCCACCCTTCAAAGTGTCCTCCAAAGAACGGATGTGCACGGGGTTTTGGGGCCGAGGGCTTGAGCAGGACATGCTTAGCGACTAGGGTTCAGGATTTAAGTGTAGGGCTCGAAGCTTTTATGAGCACCTGCCGGCGTCTGTGACGTTTCGCAGGAATCACCGTACGAATTCCGGGGAACAGAAAAAGCCTGAAGAACTAGAATAGGGCCTGGCTTTAGGGCATAGGGCTCATGACACAAAATGGCACTAACATTCAGACACCCACGTTAATTTCGAATCCTCTGCCTAGTTCAAACATCATCATTGAACTTGGACCTGAAATGAGTCTCGGGCCAAGATGCCGTTGAGCCTTCGGCTTAAACGGACGGGAACCTCAAACCCCACCCAGCGAACTCTGCATCTTAAACACTCTTGGAGCCACAACGTTGGAGCATTATTCCTGGACCCTCTGGTCGTCTTAGACGCTCAGGCATACCGTCGAAAGTCTGCAGACTGGTAATACCTGTCTGCAAACTTCACATGCTGAGCACTACGTCTCAAGTCCTGATAAGTTAATAACGGACCTGAATCAGTAGACTAAAGCTTTCGGAGTATGTTACAATATGTATATAGATATAGATAGATAGTGCGATAGATATATATACACATATAGGCTGGACATGGACTTCTGAGGTACTACTCCTGACCTCCCATTCAACATTCCCAGGCCCCAGAGCTACCTGGGTGAAGATCTCCGCATTGTCGGGGATTCCCTTGGCTTTCTGGGTCTTCGTGCCTCCGAGTTCAGGCCATTTCTGGCAAACAGGGCTCTTGGCGAAGCAATGCCACAATCCTAAACCATCTCGAAATCCGGACAATCAACGTTGAACCCGAAGCGCTTAAGTCTAAATCGCATGCTAGGCTGACGGAGGTTCGGGATGCGCCAAGCAATCCCGATTTTCTTCTTGACTACATCCAATGAAGGCTTCTAGAGGGTTTCACAAGGGCTTGTAGGTTTGATAGGGCGATTAAAAGGGCACATGGGGTTACTCTTGGGAGCAGCTCTTCCTATCGGGCTGATGTACTAGAAAACCCCCAGAGAGATTGTAAGGCTGAACAACCATCTTGGAGTGCGAGGGCTGTGGAGAGTTCAGGGGCCTCCAAAGACCTCGTAGTCACGCATCTAGTGCTGTCGCTATTTCACTGTCATCGTCCCGATACCCACAGTGCCGGGTTGTGTCGCTAGTGGCTCTTTGCTCCAGAGTCAGAAGCAAGTAAGTGTTGATTGCTTTCCGTAACGACTGGCCATGCTACTCAGCTACTTCTTACTAGTACAGTACCGTGACTAAGCCTGCGACTGTCAGCATGAAGATAGTATCCGAGCCGCTGCAAATCTTACAATATCCAGCAGACGGAATCAGCCATAACAGTGCAGGACTGAAATGCTGCGACTGCAACAAAAACTGCAGAACCTCAAACAGCCAAAAGCCTGCACCTAAGATCTGCAAACCCAGTACGGCCAAAACGCCCCACAATCTAACCCCAAGGTCAGAGATCCCAACACCCTAATCTCAGAAAGGAGCCCGCAAGACCTACCTGCACCGTTGATGCCGGAGGTGGCTTTGGTGCTGTTGCCGCCGCAAAACGACGACTTGTCCTTAAAGCTGCAGGATTAAGGGCTTTCGGTTAAACCCAGGGAGTAGAAGCTTTACGTGTGGGCCGGCGCGCCACAGCCCAAAGCTTCAGCTCAGTCCTACCGGATGCCGGGAACGTGCAGTGACGACTGCGATGATATGATGATGTTGATGATGGTGATGAGAATGAGGATGAGGATGAGGAGGAGGAGGGCGAGGAGCAAAATGAGGAGGAGGAGAAGGATTAGGACGAGGATGGGGATGAGGAGGACGATGATGATGATGATGATGATGATGATGATGGTGATGGTGATGGAGATGGTGATGGTGTTGGTGATGGAGATGGTGATGGTGTTGGTGATGGTGATGGTGATGGTGACGAATGTGCTGATACTGCTGATGGTGGTGGTGGTGGTGGTGACAATGATGGTATGGCGACAGTAGTGTTGATGAAGATGAGGATGAGAACATCTTCCGGCTGCTCTGCTTATTAGTAATTAGCTTCAGCGGTTCATCATCCCCACAGTCAACATTGCTATTCCTCCAACTGAACTTTCGCCAAGTCTTGACGTCACACTGGATTGGACGTAGGAGCACACTGACATTATCTTACAGAGCCTCGACCCGGAGGATACAAGTTCTCTGGTGTTTGGTGAAAGGTCAGGGCACATGGACCACATGGAGGTATGCCGACTGACAAGAATTGGAGCAGCATTCAGCCGCCAGGTTCACCGAGCTTGCAGCCGCTTCAAGGCTGCTCTTGCCGCTGAGGGCTTGAGGTTTTGGGTTTAGGGTTCTGGAGGCTTAGGTTTTAGAGGTTTGGGGTTTAGGGTTTTGGAGGCTTAGGCTTTAGAGGTTTTTGGGTTTAGGGTTCTGGAGGTTTAGGTTTTTGAGGTTTTGGGTTTGATTTAGGGTTATCCCACATGGGTTCAGGGTTATCCTACAGCTTTCGCATCATGAGGCTACCTCTGCCACCTACCCAACCCCCAACAGGCTCTTTTCAGCTATCTCCGGCAGAGATTCGAATTGTCGCAGCGTCCGGCGAATATAACGCCAAAAGCGAACACAACGCCAAGTGCGAGAACATGGTAGAACAGTGAGAGAAGCAGATCGCATGTAGCCCCATCCACAGACAGCCGCGCGACTGTGCCATGCACCGAAATAGTAGCAAGGATCCACAGTCAACCCAAGCGGTAGCGTCGAAGAAACCTCCACTGGGCAGCGGGGCTGCATGCGCGATACTGCAGCACGGCCTGGTGAAACATGCGTTTGGCAGCGGAGTTGACAACGTTGCAGAAAGTCATGATTTAGCATTGAATGCGTCGACACACTCTTCATGGTAAACCGCTGCTCATGATAAACATAGCACTTCAGAGGACCGAATATCTGCATCCTTCGTCTGCAGATCTGCGATTTCACTTTGCGATGGCGACCGAACATAATCGCCATGACCAGCAACGCCCTCCCCTATTGAAGAAAAGAAAAAGCCTCGCGTGGGCAAGGACAGGACGGCCCCAGCTTTCGGCTGACACTCGTCGGCCTCCCTCGAGCTGCGGTGAACAAACGAAACCGGCATTGTCAGAGTTCTAACGTTTACGGCATAGGGCCTTAGAGAGTAAGGCTTGCTGTGATTTGACTATTCGAAAGCACACGCTCACACACACCAGCTCAACGCGGAGAGCAAGCCAATGCATGGTAGATCTCTTAGGGATCTTCGCCCACATCTCTGCTAATAGACAGAGATGCGACTGAAAATATCGGCGAAACTTTAGAAGTCAACAGGTTTTTTCTACTCAATCGACCGGATGCTGAGGGCGCATCAAGCATTCACTCTCGCTGTGTCAGGGAAGAGCTCGCGGAACCTGCGGAGCATGGCGTCCCGCCTCTCCTTGGTTGGTATATACGTCTCGCAGCTGCTCGCCTAATGTAGGGGCCTTAATAATCAGAACTAGAGTAGGGTTTTGGGGTCCTTTATCGTATAGTTCTAAAAAGGACCACCAAACTAGTATTGGTAATTCTTAAGGCCCCTATATCATAGTACCTATATGTACCTATAGAAGCCAACTTTATTCTCACCAAGCATCTGCAGGAAGCTTGGCCAGACCTTCGCCTCCTTCGCATGAGTCATGGCCAGCTGGCACTGACGACGGAGTCTCGCCGATCTCGTCTGCCTCACCTCGCGCATCCTCTTCCGCAACCGCTGTAAGATGAGCACTACCGTCGTCAGCAGTCAGAAACAAGATGATCTCGATGGTTTCCTGGAAGTGAACCTTGCACTCCTGGAAATCCGACCTGGCACATGAAATCATGCTGATGGATGGACTCACTGAGGGGCTCGTCACAGACTCTTGAAGTTCCGCCAGGTCGGCTGCACTGGGTTCGGATCCTGTTGTGCTCTGCGGTGGCAAGGCCGGTGGCGTAGCACTCATGCGACGACGAGGCGACTTGGAAGCCGGAGGCGGCGTTGAAGGCTTCTGCGGCACGAGTGCGGCCATCCCGGGTCTGGAGAAAGGCAAAGGCTATATCCCGCAAAAGTGTCGCAACACTAAACCCTATAAACCCTAACTGAGGCAGCTCAACTTGAGCCGCCTTTGTCGGCGTTGGGCCGAAGCGTCGGATGCCGCAGATGTTCTTAACCACAAGAAGCCGCCCAGAGGTCACCCGCACCCTGTGCGCCCTGCATCCTAATCCTACACTACGTGCAATTTTATGGCTCCGCAGAACCAGGTGCATCTTTCTGTGCAATAACGACGAACATGGTCGAACACCCTATTCCCAGAACGATCTGCGTCCTCGTGCCGACACCCTAAACCCGAGTCCAAAGTGCATGCAGAACCTGCTAAAAGCCACAGGGTCAGTGTAGCCCGGAATCCCAGTCCCAACCCAGCACCGAACCAACAATGCCTCCAAGCAATCATTTTCGTAGGGGGTCACGGAGATTCGCAAGTAGGTGTTTTTTTGAGGACGAAATCCCCAATCAGGGCATGCTTGAAGAGGAGGGGACTGAGTCAAGGTATACGCGCCTTACTTGGGCCATGAACAGTTTTCATATTAACTTTAGCACGATAATAAGTACTGTTATACTCACCTTGCTAGAGACATGAGATTTTTTGACGATACTCACCGACAACACTTGCTAAGTCCCCCGAACCCCGAAGCCTAAAGATTGGGTACTGCCCCCGAGTTGTAGGTACATATTTCACCTAACCCTAAACCCTAAACCCTTAACTGCTACAGAGTGGGGGCAGTATGCCCTAAACCATGGGAGTTTCCGAAAATAGGGGGTACCTTTATTTGGGGTCCTTATGATAAGGCTCCTACTTTTTAGGGTACTGTATTAGGGTCCCCTATTTTCGGAAATCCCCATATCAGGGCAACTTGGTAGTCAGAGCTTGATGTCTAGTCGCCTTGTAAGACTGAAATATGTAGTAAACTCTTCGACAAAAGGCTCTTGCCCTATCCTGTACAGTTCTTCCATACCCTTGCGGCTCAGGCCGTGGCCAGGAGGACGACGCGTCCTCCGTGCTCCACGACCGTATTGGCCGCGGACATTCCTCTCGCGACGGCAGGCGGCACAGGGGCAGCTGGTTAGCGTCATGGCTCGAACCTTAAACGCGAGGCCCTAAACGTTAAACCTTATTTAACCTTGAACCACTTAGCCCTATACCAAATTGTACTAAAATTTGCACTTCGAAGGCAGAGATCTCAAACTTTCAACCTGTTGGAACCTCGACATTTAACCCTGGAACCCTAGAACCCCTGAGCAGATGGGGCTCTCAAGAACTAGGGCGCAGGGCTTAAAGCTTTGTGTTTAGGTGGTTGGAGCGTTGTGGGGTTTAGGCGTCATTTTGGGACATGGAAGGTTTGACTAACTCGTGGTACCGTTCCCTTAGTTTGCCAAATCTTTCTTTGACATTCCATCCTCCAAAACAGCAGTCTAAGTATTCAGGCTTTCACTAACTCGTGGTACTGTTCCCTTAGTTTGCCAAATCTTTCTTTGACATTCCATCCTCCGAAACACAATACCGTCGCAACAGTAAGGAACTCAAGAGAGGCCTGTTCAGGGTGCATGGGATGTCGCGTCTTGGGTTTTAGCAGTACGAGGCTTCAGGCTGCGTTGGGGTTGGTTGGGTCAGAGCCCTGGCTGCTGGAAACCTGCTTGGGAAGTCTCAACCAGGACCCCGCATCTCGAAGGACATGAACTTAGGACCTGGTCCATCACAGGTCCCGGCCCTAGCGGCCCAAGACATAGAAGTGCTTGGACCCATGCCTTGAACCGTAAGGCCGTACGGCTTCTATCCCCAAATCTAGAGCCCGGCTCACCCCGACTGAGCCCAGCAACCGGGAGCCTCCTAAGCCACCGCCCACAACGATGGCTTGGTTGGTTGGAAAGGAACACGCCATGGTTGGAACAAAACCTTGCACTGCAAGGGCTTCGGGCTTGGGGCAGGACTTATGATTTCACAGGCGCGAGACGGAGCTAAAGGGTGCACGGTTCAGGGGCTTAGGGGTTGAAGTTATGCAGGCTGTGTGCAACGAACATCAAGCACAGCCCAAGTAGCCCTGCAAAGCTGAAACCCTGAACACCCCAAACCCCACCAAAGGCCCCAATCCAGGAACCCTAAACCCCAAGTCAACCAGTAAACTCCGACGTTCTTAGCCATGGTGCCTCTAAAGTCAAAGCCGAGGCACTGCCGGATGCTCCTAAAGGTCGAAACGAGCTCGCCTGATTTCTTCGGCGCTACACTTCGGGACGGGTCCGGTTTAGGTTCAGGCCTTTGGAAACGATCGGGTTCAGAGTCGAAGAAGACTGGCCCCAGGCGGGCATACTACATTCGAACATAATGCTTGAACAGAGGTCCCTGCAGTCGAATGTCTCGCACTCGTCTCCATGATTGACTTCAGAATCATCATCATCATCATCATCATCATAATCGTCATTATCATCATCATCATCATCATCATCATCATCATCATCATCATTATCATCATCATCATCATCATTATCATCATCATCATTATCATCATCATCATCAACCCCATCACCATCCTCATCACCATCATGCATTGTGCACCCATGCGGCAGGCTTCCTGTCGACTTCGTCCCAAGGGTCTAGGGGTTGAGTGGGTCGCTCATACTCTAGGTGCGGACGAGTTGCACTTTGGTGCCTTTGAGCATGCGCACCCAGCTACCCTAACACAAAAAGTTCTGCGGAACGGAAGACGCCGGCTGTAGACTGTGCTGAGATGAGAGCTTGAGTCTGCAAGAATTCGGAACAGTGTTCAGGAGCTTCCATGCACTGTCTAAATGCTTCAGGGGTCTCGTACATACAACTATGCTATCCTAGTAAACGAAGCTAAAAGAGACATGGCCCGACGGTGGGCACACACTGAAACTTCCCAAGGGCTTTGACGGAAGACTGTCACCAAGAGCGCCCAAGCTTCGAAACCTAGTACAAGAAGGAATTTGACAAGCATATCAAATTGCCACCTAGTGCAACCATACAAATTCTAGGAAAACTTCATAAACTTTGCAAAACCCTGAAAGGCCCACTAAATGCCATGGGATCCGTGAGGACACTTCTTCACAACGAGAATCAAGGCTCTTAGGCAGGAGCTTGTAAAATGCAGTTGCAACTACAATGCTACAACCAAACCTCCTGGAACCCTCCTGAGTATGCACTTCTTCCTAAGTCCTCTCATCCTTCAGTAAGGTTTGGGCTGCAAGGTTTGGGAGCCATCGGCCTAAGGCCTTTAGGCCATGTAAGGTTTGGAAGCCTTCAGGATGGAGCGCTTTAGGGCTTGATTCGGGCTCCTGGAGTTTGGCGGTTCAGGCTTTGGTGGCTTGGGGTTCAAGGCCTCGGTTTCGAAAGGATTTTCGTGTTCAAGGCTTCCGGTTTGGGCTCAGGGGCTGGAGCCTCTGCCTGTCAGACTTGGGATTTACCAACGCTTTAGAGGCCCCATGATCTTTAACAGTGGGTGGCTAAACTAAAGCAGGGTGCTGAAGAATGCGACGAGGGTGCTGAGGCTTTTCCTCTGTGATTACCCAATAAGAAGCGATGTCTAGGGTAGATGACTATGCAGACCCCTGGGTTAGGAAAGGTCTCGGGTTTAAAGCTTCCGGGCATAGAACAAGCGGCTTGGGAACGGAACCCAAGCTACCGCCCCGGCCTGATGGTGTTGGAATGGAGGTGTTGGGATTTGAGGGTCTTGGGCTTTGGGTTTGATGGCTTAGGATGTTTAAGTCTCTGGGTTTAGACTTCGGCTTTAGACTTTAGACTTTAGACTTGTAGGGTTTGGGGCTGCGGGGGTCGCGGACTTTTCAGAGTTACGCTCCTCTGGTGTTCTGCGCGAAGACATGTGCAGTGCGGTGCACATCGTCTGAAACTAGCTCTGGGATATTGCGCCGCAGGAGTTCCAAATGCCAACGCTGCGGCTGCGACGCTCTATCCACCCTTTAAAAAGAGGGTGCTTGTGCACGGAATGAATGAATGCCACTTTCTGGCAGCCCGCTTGGGGGGGACACAAAAATCCGAACCCTTGAGATCGAAAACGACCCTCTGAATCTGGAGTGCTTGATGCCAGCGTCTTCACATCAAGGGCCTAAACTCGAAACCCGAAGTGTTCGGGTTTATCGTATTTGATCAGATTCGAGCAATAACCAAATGGCAATATAAGTCCATTAGTTCATGGTGGACCCTAGCTTATTCCTGATTCAGATTCTGCAAACTGACGAAACCCACATCCGGGAGGGGAGTAGAGCTCCACGGCACTGAAGATTTAACGGGTTTGGGTCTTGGGGTACGTTATTGGGATAGTCTTTACTGGCGCTTCGGGTTTATAGTGCCTGCAGGGCTTGGGGTGAAGGGCTTCGGGTCTCTACCTCAGTTGCTGCGTCCCGTGGCACAAACGATTAACCTTGCATAACCTTGCATTTGTGGCAGAATGGAGTAAACTCGCAAGGCTAACGGCTAACCACACCGCTACTAAGATGCCTAACGCTATATGGTATATGCAAACAACAGAACACTGAGAGATCCCTTCTTGAATGTGTGTTGAGAACCCCATGCGCCAATGGCTGCGGGCTGCCAGGAAAGGTCGTTATCAGCATCTCGCCGAACGGAGATTCCCAGGATGTGCGGCCGAACTGTTGTGGGTTTAGGACTTCAGGGGGTCTTAGAGCTGTGTGTTTTGGAAGCATTGTCTCCGAAGGTGGACCGTAAACTCTCAAGCCGACCCTAGACCCCCCTGACTGAGCCCAACTTACTCCCTAAACCCTTGACCTAAACCTTACAGCCCCCAAGAGCTGCTGGGGATTCTCCCTCATCGGCAGCGACGCGGCCTGAGCACAGAAGAGAACAGATGAGTTTTCATGTGGGTTTTTGTTGGTTTCCGTGTGCGGGATGAAACGTTGAAAGTCTGGGGGCGAGGGTCTAGAGTCTAGACTTCTGCTTTGTTTTGGGCACATTTTTCCGTACAATATCTCTCGCCTCTGGAATCTGCAGTTTGCGGAAGGCAGCTTGTCCACCCTTGACGCCTCTCACGTCTCACCCTTGCCCTGTGTCACAGGCTCATGCTCGTTCCACTCCACAAACTGATGGTACTTGTAGTTCTGTCGGGCTTTAACCGGCTGTAGCATTCATCACCCCCGGCCTCTGTCACACAACAAGCAGCAGCAGCAGCAGCAGCAGCAGCAGCAGCAACAACAACAACAACAACAACAACAACAACAACAACAAACCCGCCTGCTCACTCTTCCCGTCCTGGGATCTGGATTGTGGTCTCGTAGCCTCGCAGCTATGAATGGGACGCAGGTTCCGGCTCGGGGCAGCGCCGCTGGAAAGAATTCTATCTGTACGTTTCAGAAGTTCCAACAGTGGCATCAGTGCTGGAGGGGAAGTCTGCTTGATGACGACCCGAGTTTCAGAAACCCCGCTTGCGTCATCGAACCACCTCAGAGCAGAAGGGGTGTTCGACTGCAAGCTCCGGGTCTTGGCAACGAACTTCCGAAAGCTGAAGAGTGATTTCCGCAAAAATCGACAGTAAGTACCAGGGTATAGAACTTCAAGTCCTGGGCTTTTGGTTGCGGATCTTGGTTGTCCAGGCGTCAGAGCTTGCGAGAACGGGACTGCATCTGTCACCAGGGGCCCTCCCTATGACCCGAACCCAAAACAGTTAGTACAGTCCCAAACCCTATCATCAGACCTGAGCCCCGAAGCAAAAAGCCGAGATTTGGAGCCGGAGAAGCCTGCAAAGGGCTTGGTGGCCATCACATAGAGCGGGAAGGAGATGTAGACCAAGCCCATGACGATCCTGGGCGCCGACAAAGACAAGGGTTTAAGCCAAACGTGACGGATGGCCGTTGTGAGCAGGTCATGGTTGGGGCTGCGGGTCCCTTCGTCGGTTGGGGTTCACCTACTTGTCGCCCTATTCACGTGATCCTCTAAGTGCACATCCTGCCACTACTTGAGGCTCCGCGCCAAGCTTCCTGAGTTCCCACACACAAACATCGGCTCAAGCTCTCGTGACCACAGGGTTGCCATTACAGGTCCTTCAGCAGTATAGCTGTTTTGAAGGATATAGTCAGTTCAACCCTAAAGAAGACACACCAAAAGAGTGCCCCGAAGAAATTTTCAGGGATTGGGGCAGAGGATTCAGGAATATGGTTCGGGGTTCAGGGTTTAGGCTGCAAGGGTTCGGGATTTGGTCTGGCGGCTATGTGCGTGTAAATACGTACAATAAAAAACCTGCTCCATGCCCGAACATGGTGCAATCGAATCCCTGCTATCTTGAAGTCAGGGCGCATGATGCCGTAGCCGATGAGCTCCACCCGCCAGATGTGACCCCGAGGAATGCCAAGAACCGGGGTCACCTGCGAGATTCTGGACTTTGCGGTTAGGTGTTTGGGGTTTAGGGTTTTACATTTTAAAGGTTTTTAGGGTTTTGAAGGCCTTTGGGTCACAAGTTCAGGCCTGAGAGCTTTCGAGATTTAAGCGCTGAGGTGCTTAAAGTTTGCGAGTTTTGGCCAGACCTCAAACCTTAACTCAGGCTTCAATCACTTTTAGTTTCGGCCCTGACGACTGGCAGCGGCTTGTGAACTACAACGGGTCCGAATAGGTCTGCCATTGCTCCTGGATGCGCTATATATTGAGATTTTGTCATTAAGGGAATGGGGCCAAGGACAGTATAGGGTTAGTATGATGTGAAGAATATACCCATGATAGACCTAGTCTTGAGGCTGCTCCGTTGGTATGAGAGTCAGGCAGGGCTAAACTGAAGGATCCTAGCTCCATTGGGATATCAGGGCTGAAAACGGAGATTCCTGAAATCATCATGTGAGATCCTAACGTGTACGTGGTCTTTTGGGCTCTTAGAGCTTTGGCTTCAGGTTCCCCAAGTAGCCCGCGCACCTTCTTCCAGCCAATGCAGGCGTGGTACATGAAGATGAACCTTGCAGACAAGTCCCAAACCGTGTCTTGCCGAAGCCTGAAATCCTTTCACAAGACATCCCTCAACCCCTAGCCACAAAGCTACTCCTTAATCACAGACAGCTCAAAAAGCCTGAATGCTAACACCCAAGACATCAACCCAAAATCTCAGAGACCTGAAACTCTAAAAGGTCCTGGAATCCCCAAAGCTCTAAAACCTGAAACCCTCCGTCCAACCCTAACCGCTTTCCTCATGACCAGCCCAAGGGACACCGAGAAGATGTAGAAGAGCGACCAGAGGGGATTCTTGAAGATCTGGAACTCCAGGGCCTGAGAAAACAAGGCTACCACTTATGCTCCATGCTTGGGACCCTGATTTTCCAATCAGGAGCAAGGCTTTTGTTAAAACTTGGAGTCGATTGTGTGCTGCTCTGCTGCGCTTTCTGGTGGATGGGCTTTCTAAAATGCCAATGCTATGCGCTAGGTGTTTGAACATGGCTCACATGTGGGTGAAGCGGGAGATGGAAAATCATGGCGGCAGGTTGCGGTTGCTACCAAGTGTTGATTCATTGTGTATGACGGCATAGAGCACCATGGGAGAACACACATTAGCATGACAGTTCACAGTGATTTTCAGGGTAGCACCTCTGATAGCTTGCGACTGCCAGCGCATTGCCGTTCAGGCTCACCCTCGATGTGCATTCGATACCTGATTTCTCCCTGCTTGAGGCCCGGGCGTAGATGTCGCGCACGCCGACCTTCTCCACGCTGGCGTCGGAGGTCCAGAAGAGGTTCAGGGAAGAGATGCCCCAGAAGTTGATGAGGTACGGAGGCGGCCGGATGTAGTAGGGGCCGAACTGGTCGGTGTCGCCGAAGCGGAACTGGAAGAGGTGGATAGTCATGAAGGTCAGGAGCATCAAGCCGGAGATAGCCAGGTTCAGGACGTTGATGCCCTGGGTCTGCACCAAAGCGAGCTTCATGTC